CACACACACACTCACACGCACACACACACTCACACACACACAACATGGAACACAAAAACAAATGTGCAAGCTGCTCTTCTCTTTAGAATTAACATGGTGCTTGTAAAGGCAGAAAAAAACATCATGGAAAAAGTATCATAATAACAGTAGTTTTACAGTATATGAGGAGCAGACACTAATTTCAGTCGTTATTTGTAAAAAAATCTTCCTGTCTTCCATAAATCTCTTTCCTGTAGCTCAAACAGTCATGGCTCAGATTCCCAGGGAATGCTTGAAAAGATAAGAAAAAAAAATCGAAAAAAATTCCAGCAAGTCCTCAACACTACAGCAATGTTTCTTCAACACTCCCAACAGTTTTATCTAGTTAGTTTATTATGCTATTATAGTTTATATTGATATTTTGAATTAGTTTTTATTTTTAGCATTTCTTTTTTCATTTTTATTTTGGTTAAAAAAATTTTTTTAATATGTCTATGTCTATGTATTTTATTTTTATTTTACTTTTAGTTATTTTAGTACTTAAACTTCAAATAAATCAAAATGAGAAATATTGCATCGGCAACTATCTAAAATACAGTAAGTTTACATTTTCTATATGTTATTTTATTTCAGTTACAGTTTATTGTATTTCAAGTAATGGATTTTTTAGCTAGCTATGATAACACTGGTTTCAAAAGCACTAAACTATAAATATGACTTTAAATTGAAATGTGATGAAACCACACCCTCTAGAGGATAAAATATATGCACTTTATCTGTTTCAAGTGTGCAAACTTATTCTTGAAGTTTCACTCTATTTAAACTCTATTTAAAAACTTACTTCATTACTATCCAAATTGCCTAATGCATATAATTACATATCCTATATTCAGTATTGACTGCCCCCTGTACTCTCGCAGTAACTCCACAAACAATAGCCTTCCCATTTAATTTACTTTAGTTATTAGCTGTGATCAAGCCAGTACCCCAGTGTTTATCTTGCTCTTGCTAATCCGCAGTGATAAGCTTGTTTACTTCGGGTGTCTGTAGAGGGTGTTAATGGACTCAGTCCCACACTTCATTTACATTCCCACTGAGTGACACAACAAATCTCTAGACTGTTAGCGGTGTTTAGTGTAACTTGCCTTGATGAGGTTTTAGCTTGTTTACTAAGCTATAAAGGCTATTAGCAAAGCTACAAAGCAAAATATATGCACTTTATCTGTTTCAAGTGTGCAAACTTATTCTTGAAGTTTCACTCTATTTAAACTCTATTTAAAAACTTAAAAAAAAAACTGATCTTTTATTTTTAATTGCCATAATTCATATACTTTACAAAAATGCACCATGGTAATCAAAATTATCATGAACCACGGTTCACAATAGAGTAGCCATTAAAGTTATTGATTATTTTGAGATACTATTGTAGTTTTTAATAAAATTTTGAATGTTTTTTTTTCAAATTTTCCTTTTAATTTTAGTTAAAGATCACTAATTTTGCTCTGTTTTTGTCATTTTTAGTAATTTTTAATGTATATGTCTATTTATGAAACAATGAAAATGAAAAAAGTTGATATATATATATATATATATATAATAAAACAAATATTTTTGGAGCATGTTTTAAAAGTTAAGATGTGTGCAAGTCATAAAAATAGCAGTAGCACACAAAATGTACACTTACATGACAAGCAAAATTTCTTAACATATTAAGGCTTGCATATTTGTTTTTGTGGCACTAGCAGACATTTTTTATGTGTTTAGGCTTAAAAATTAAATTTTTCTCTACAGAGATGCTCCTTAAAATGCCTATAACTGTTGTAAAACTTCTGTAATGCACTCCTCTCATGGTTTTTGGCTTTAACGCACAAAGTTTTCTCTCTGCAGGATAGTATGTGGCTTTGGTGGCGCCTTCTTTGTGTATTTGTATGGAAAGATTTCTCTGTTTGTGAAGAAGCAGAAAGCCACGAACAGCTTCCTCATGAAGAAGTAAGTGATTCCTACAGCAGAACTAACGATAAGGGTAAAATGGCATGAAAAATAATATTAGATAATAATAGAATTTGCTGTATATATTGTAAAAAGTCTATGATGTGTCAAACATGTCTTTGTTTGTGTTTAATCATGTGTTTTCTGTCTAGTTGTTTCTTATATTCCGCTTTGGTCTCTGCACACACCCACTCCCACACACACACACACACACACACTCCAGTGTTTGTTCCCCAGGCTGCTAAATCCATCCAGTTAATAATTTTAATGAGACAGCCGAGAGAAACATTAAAGCATTTATTAATCAATCTCAACAACACTCACTCATATAAAATACAGCATCATCATCTCTTTCTCTTTTATACACTCACTCTTGTTCTCTTTAATTAATCAGTGACTCAAAATGAGGCAATAAAATGCTCCATTAGCAGCAAATGCAGTCATACGCTACAATAAAATTGCCTTATTTAAATACAGTACATGCACAATTAGCAGTTAAATGAAACATGAAAGCCAATGTCTTTTTAAAGGAATAGTTCACCCAAAAATGAAAATTAGCTGCTGATGCAATGCTGCATTTCTACAAATCTGACGAAGAAACAAACTCATCCTGATCTTGAATAGCCTGAGGGTTAGCACATTTTCAGCTAATTTTCATTTTTGGATGAACTATTACTTTAAAAATATGTCTAAAGTACTACTTTTTGTTTATATAGAACCAGTTTGTGTTTATGACATCATTTCCTCACCATTTATAGCTCACACAAAGGGACTCCTTGATTTCATTTTTTGACAATCGTACCTGGTCAAATCATTGCATCGTAGCAGACTTTGATCATGACGATCACCTAGCCGCCTGGAAACATCCGCAGGCTAACGTCTTCGTTATTCTCTCCGTCTTCGTCATCATGAAGGTAAATAGACACACAGACACACAGTTTTGTCCTCAAACTATAGCGGAGTATCTAAACCTCTTCTTTATTCAGAAATCTGGTTGCTTTAAAGGCTTCATATAATGATCAACTGATTTTTCTTACTATTTTAATATAAACAGTATATTTGTGAATGTTTGAGTTGTTTTTTGATGCACTGTGTGTGTGTGTGTGTGTGTGTCTGTGTGTCTGTGTGTGTGTGTGTGTGTGTGTGTGTGTGTGTGTGTATGTGTGTGTGTGAGAGTGTGTGTGTGTATGAATGTGTGTGTGTTGTATTTTAATGAGCAGTACTATTGTTTGTTATGTAGTTCTGGATGTCTGCTCTTTCCATAACCCTTCCTATACCATGTGGTTCCTTCGTTCCCATTTTCGTCATTGGTATGTGTTTGTGTGTTTTATCTAAAACATGATATTTACTCTTTTTTTATGCATTTCCACATTTTTATGGCCCGTTCACACCATGGATGATAACTGTAACAGTAACTAAAACCATAAAGGTTAAAAAATCCCTCTAACTCTATATAGGGAAGTCCACACCACAACTATAACAAAAGAAAAGAATGATATAATTGGAATTACATTCAGAGCAATATTTAAAAAAAATATTGGGCAGCACAACTGTTGTCAACATTGATAATAAACAGAAATGTTTCTTGAGCAGCAAATCAGCATATTAGAATGATTTCTGAAGATCATGTGACACTGAAGACTGGAGTAATGATGCTGAAAATACAGCTTTGATCGCAGAAATAAATTACACTTTAACAGATATTCACATAGACAACAGCTATTTAAAATTGTAATAATATAATACATTTTTACAGTATTTGTGATCAAATAAATGCAGCCTCAATGAGCAGAAAAGACTTCTTTTAAAAACATTAAAATATCTTTTTGATCGGAATTTTGGATGTCTGGTTTAAGTCATAGTTCTTGGTGTGAACGGACCTTTAAACCAGTCATTTTTAACAGTATCTATTGATACAATGACTTATTTGACTCTCAAACTAAAGGGAATGCATTCGTGTGTGTTTCAGGTGCTGCGTTTGGCCGTTTGGTGGGTGAAGGTTTGGCCACGTTGTTTCCCGATGGATTTAACATTGATGGACACATATACCACATAGTGCCCGGAGCGTATGCTGTTATAGGTGAGACAGACATGCACACATCAGTTACATCTGAATACTTGGTCAAAATTAAGCATTGATTTAGCTTTTAATCAGCTGTAACCCTCTCTCGTGTTCAGGAGCGGCAGCGTTAACGGCAGGAGTCACTCACACGATCTCGACTGGCGTGATCATGATGGAGTTGACGGGTCAGATCAGTTACGCTCTGCCCATCCTCATCTCTGTGATTCTGGCCAACATGGTCTCTCAGAGTCTTCAGCCTTCCATCTATGACACGGTTATCCGCATTAAAAAGCTGCCTTACCTGCCCATGCTCAGCTGGGGCCACCGAGAGTAAGTCTCTTCGTCCCTACATTTAATCTTTTCTTTCCATTTCACATTTTGCTGATCCTTTGCACCACCAAAATTTTTCTTATAAAACAGATAGTTCCGGTGCTTGATTCTGATTGGCTGAGCCGCGTTCGAAGCTGTTGTAAATTACTCTACAAACACACCTTTGTTTACGTCTGTGTGTTGCTCGGCAACCACTTTGTTACAACCACAACTGTTTCTGAGGAGCTACATTGTTTGGTTGAAGAATACTGTTTTTATTAATATCATTACACTTTATTTGCTCTGTTTTATTCTGTGAAACCTTACTATGTATATGGAATAACCGTTTTATAAAAGCAATAAGTCCTGTGAAGCCGTGGTTTACAGTGAATTTATAACAGCTCCGGTTCGCGTCGTACCTAACAACGCCCCTTAGCTGTTATAAATTCACTGTAAACCACAGCTTCACAGGGCTTATTGCTTTATTAGCAGTTAATTTTGACTTATTTTCAAGGGATTTTGTAAACACTTCAGTTAGAATGTCACCATGTTTTTAAAGTGTACATACTACTAAAAATACCTAGAATATCAGATGTTTAATATCAGTATTGTGTGAAATACATTAGTGTATATACAGTAATTACCCAGCATGCTCAGGTTTAACACATTAACATACATATTGCAATGTGCACATTAGCAGTACATAACAAAAAATTAAAGGCAGTTAAATGTTGTTTGTGTTTTTATGAATTTAAGGCAAGACACCCAAGGTGAGTAGTGTAAACAATGTAACAAATAGAAACAAATAACCATACTCCCCCAGTTGATTGATTGCATTAAGAACTGCAAACATGTTTTGTATTCAAAGTTTTCTGAAATGTGATGTTCAAATTTGCAAATGATGCATTATACAATTAAATATGCACTAATTTGCACACATTTCCAGAAGATAAATCTGAACATTGTATAAAACTAGGTTCAAAATTCTTATTTGATTTTGTTGACATATTAGAGTTAAATGTTTTTACACAAGGAATTTTGAATTTATCTTTTTATCACTCCATAAATCTAAAAATACCGTCAACAACCAGAAAAAAAAATTTTTCACCATGTTTCTAGAAATAAAATGTTCTATAAATGAGTGTGAATAATATATAAACAAACCCCTCAGTAAAAACCTTCAGAATATAGAGAGGAATAAAACTCTAAGATTTGGTGTTTGTAAGTGCTGCTGAAGTGGAGAAAAAACTAATTTTATGAAAACGGCCTTTAAATATACAGTATGTATTATAATTGAACTCTATAGACACAAATAGATAAAGTGCAATAAAAAAGCATGTAAATGATATATGAATAAACCCCTCAGTAAAAACCTTCAGACTATAGAGAGGAATAAATCTCTAAGTTTTGGTGTGTGTAAGTGCTGCTGAAGTGGAGAAAAATCTCTTTAAAGATATGTATTGCAATTGAAATCTACAGACGCAAATAGATGAAGTGCAATAAAATAAACACTTAAAAGTGCATTTTGGATGTTTTTTTTTCCACTAGTGTAAAACAATTTGAAATTAATTGCCTTCATTCAAAATTTTGTCTGAAGTATTTCCTTGATGTGCTGTGCATCAAAGTTTTTCACAGTGACCTCTTCTCTGTCTGTAGGAAGTATGATATTTATGTGGAGGACTTTATGAAAAGAGAAGTTCGTTATATCACGCTGAACTCCACCTACAGAGACGTAATCAAGATCCTACGTTCAGGAAATCTGAAAACACTGCCTTTGGTGAAATCTACAGGTACAAACACACACACACACACACACAGACAGACACAAGATACACTCTTATTTCTCACCTACTGTAGCGTTGGTGCTGGTTGTGTTATTATATGCCAATGACTTAACTTATAAATATTTTAAAATGTATGTGGACATAAATCTATAGGGACTGTCCAGACACATAACCTAAATATATTTGTGAACCGTTCACTATGCTGACAGGATGTTGAGATAAAATATTAAATGAGCTTTATATTTTTTGAATAATGTTTTATTTTAATTGTATTTTTAAATAATTATTTTAAAAAATCTATAATTTTACTGTTTTTATTTATTTAATTTTATTCTATTCTAATGTCTATTTTTTATCTATTTAAATGACATGCATTGCGAAAGGTGTATACAAATAAACATTGCATGACTGGAGAGTTAGGTTTTTAGATCATTAGAAACAGTTTTTGTTATTTTGAATGTTTTTTTTCTTTCCTCGTGTCTCTCAGAGTCGATGCTCTTGCTGGGTTCTGTCGAGCGCGCTCAGTTACTGGGGCTCTTAATGCAGCGATTGCAACACCTGCGAGAGGAAAATGCGTCCACCATGCCTGTCAGATACAAGGTTCACTTCCAGGTCAGACTGAGAACATTTGATTATTAGAATAAAAACTGTAATGCTGTATTCTATTGCTGCAGCCACTGATTTGCATCACAAATACCCAGTTGTTTGTTTTTGGAGACAGTTGTTGATTATGGATATATGCATATATGTTGTGTGTTTGTGTGTCTGTTTGTTGTAGACGTCCACAGAAGAATCTGCATCCGCTTCAACCACTAAACCTCTGAAATCTGCTCTGAAGAAGCCGTCTGTAGATGAAGAAGAGATTACAAGTAATATCGAGAACCTCCCATTGACTTCTTTTGATCTTAAAATAACATAAAACATCCTTTAAGTAGAATTTCTATGGCTGGTCATGTGAACATGTAAAAATGCATGAAAAATATTTTTAATACAATAAGTTTTTAATTCTTAATTTATATATTTATGCTTGCAAAACACTTAATATAAATGTTGAGTTTAGTGCACTTGATCAAATGTTTACTTAAATAGCAAATAAATACATATTGTGGATATATGAAACTTTTTCTGTGTCTCAGGTGTTTATGATTCTGGCCTCAACTTAAAGAAGTTCTTCTGTTCTCGTCCTGACATCGAGGCAATGGAGGTGAGACATCCAGCACACACTAATGTGCTCCAGAAATTTACAGTGGTGTTTTTTAGTAAGTGAGTGCCTTTTTAATTTAGTTTGATAATAACACAAGAAAACTTGCAAGTATACCCTTGGAATTGCAGAATCCAGTCATAAAAATAAAAAAAAGGTCTGTGTAATAATCAAATTGTGATAATGGCTAGTGTCTGTGATAATAATAACAAAATTATTAACAATAATTTAATTTTTTAAGGAATATCACAATTTTTCTTCCATGTTGTGCAGCACTTTGTTTGGAAAAAAAAAATATATATATTTCATAAATATCATTACATTTTTAAAAAAATGGTTAAATTGTTAATGTTTTACGCCTTCATTGGACCGTTTTTGAAAAGAAGTGTTTATTAAACAATAGGTCCAGAAATATTAAAACTGACAACATAATTTCTGAAAAAATAAAATAAAACATTTCAGAGGCCCTATTATTGTAAAAAATAAAGATATAAATAATTCCGATTTAATTAAGTCATCAAAACAGAATCCAGAAAAATATTAATGGAAAAGAAAGAGTCCTGAACTGGAAAAATGGGAAAAAATAAACCAGATAATTCTGTTTTCAGCCTAAGAGTGTGTGTGTGTGTGTGTGTGTGTGTTTCCATCTCTTTCCAGGACGACCCAGACGCAGAGGATGATACGATACTTCAAGAGGTGAGGATGTGTTTTAACACACATGTAGGGTTTCCATGTTTTATGGGTTCATTCCATAGGCGTAATGGTGTTTCTACTGTACAAACTGTATTTTCTATCCCCTTACCCTAAACCTACCCCTCACACAAATCCACAGACTATTTTACATTCTCAAAACACTTCATTCTGCATGATTTATAAGCTTGTGTCCTCATGGGGACCAAAAACTGTCCCCACACACAAGGTCAAAATATACTGCTATAACTATCTTTGTGGGGATATTTGGTATTCATAAAGTAGGGAATACCAGCACGCACACACGCTCACATACAGTATCTCTGGGTGTGAATGCAGATTGAAGAGTGGGAGGAGCAACAGATGGACGAGCAGGTGAACTTCAACAGCTGCAAGATTGACCCCGCCCCCTTCCAGCTGGTGGAGCGCACTTCACTGCACAAGGTGTGTGTGTGTGTTTAGGGAACACAATTGTGACATCATAATCGTGATGATGTGTTGTTAGTTACAGTTTTTCTCAGTGGCTTTGGTGCATTTCTCATATCAGAAATGAAATTCTCAAAACTACTTGTTTATCTAGTCACTTGTGCACATCATAAAAGCAGTTTCTCATTCTTTTGAGCAAGTTGCGATTGCTTTGCTACATTCATGCAATTGATTATGTGCATTTATGTGCATTCTACTAACTATAAGTAACTTTGTAACTACATGTCTGCTAACTCTAGTAATCTAGTAGACTGTTAGGTTAGGTTTAGGGTTAGTAGAATAAGTTGATATATACTTGCAAAGTTTCTCATAGTCAGTATGTTGTGGACCCATGAAACTAAAGTGTTAGAAGATATTAAGCAGACCGCCTGCTAATACTCTAATGACTGCTGGTTGACATGTAGTTGCAAAGTTACTTACTGTTAGTAGTGGACTATCAAAATAAAGTGTTACCCATTTGTCTGCAGTTTCCTGCGTTATCAGTTGCTATTGTCACGTTGCTCAAAATTTATTATATAGTTTTCTGTGCAATAGACTTTCCCCTCAAAACATCTAGGCTAATTAGTTCATCGTATAAGTCAATAAATGCAAAAAGGTTGATCTAGTTGTCATAAACTGTCAAGCATATTTTCTACAAGACTTTTTGTAAATTTGCCATGAATTGTGCAGGTGAATCTTGACTTTCTCTAATGAAGAGAATGTAGATCAGCTAATGATAAACCAGTTCTGACTGAATCCTATCCAGTCTCTTTCAATCAATACCCCACATACAGTAGCTAATGTGTAAAGTTGTACTTTTGAAATGGACATATGGCATACAGAAGAAGCGCAACCTTCTGCATTTCAATACAGTTACTGTCATCCAAACTGCTGTCATAGTTTACATCAGGCAATACTAACAGAGTTATATTGACAACATGACTAAGCATCTTGTTTGTGAACAATGACACAAGGACTTTTCATTCTGGTGGCACTGATATGTTCATTTACATAAATTCTTACTTTTGAGAGATGAGCTAAAGATTGTGAGTAAGTTACAGACTTTTGCAGGTAATCCATCGTGTGGTGCTGTTTGTACAAATTGTTTTGAGAAATGCACCAAAGCGACTGAGAAAAACTGTAATGCTACTGTATGTCACATTATTTCAGAAGAAGAATAAAAGTGTGGTCTGCTCTGATATATTCCCATTTAACATCTCTCTGGTCTTCTCTCCGACAGACTCACACCATGTTTTCTGTGTTGAATCTGGATTACGCTTACGTCACCAGCATCGGACGACTTGTCGGAGTTGTTTCACTGAAAGAGGTGAGAATTTATCACGTGTCACATAAAAATGACATTCAGGAGATAAAGATCAAAATATTTCCACATCGTCTACACTATTTATTGCTTCTTTATTGGTGTTATGGTTCAGTAAAGAACCTTGAACATCACGGCAAATTTCCATTGCACAAACGTTTCTTTGTAGCAGAGAAAAAGTAAAAAAAAAAAAAAAAAAAAGTTATAAAAAACAATGAAACTGGTCTTTTTTTAGTTCGAAAAGCTAGTTCCATTTAATTTGTAGTGCATTTTCTAAGATTATAAATATTCTGTGAGAGAAATAATGTGTTTTTTAAGGGCTAATAGTTTCAAATAGGACATTTTAATGCACACTGATGTAAGAAATTAATGCTTTTATTCATTAAAGATGCAATAAATTGATCAAAAGTGACAGTAACTCACAAAGCCATGCTGTGACTTTGAAAATTAGATGTGATCAGTTGTATCGCCACTCACACATACATACATCACAGACCTTCTATTATTGTCCTCTGGAAGATAGAAGAACGTGTAGAGTGTTTGCTCATCTGAAAGATCATTGGGGTCAGTGAGATATTTAATTATTTTTAAAAACTTTTTTAAGAAATTAATACTTTTATTCATCAAGGATGCAATAAATTGATCAAAAGTGACAGTAAATACATTTATAATGTTACAGTTTTTTTTCAACTTTTATTTTTGTATTTCTTATAACATAACTCAGAAATACAAAAAACACAGAAAAGAAAAAAGGGGAAAAAGAAAACAAAATAAATAAAGAACCAGAGGCATGACATACATTTCTATTTTAAAAAATGCTGTTCTTTTGAACTTTCTGTTCATCTGTGAATCCTGAAAAAATAAAACGTATCACAGTTTCCACAAAAATAGTGTGCAGCACGACTGTTTTCAACATTGATAATAATCAGAAATGTTTCTTGAGCAGCAAATCAGCATATTAGAATGATTTCTGAAGATCATGTGACACTGAAGACTGCAGTAATGATGCTGAAAATACAGCTTTGATCACAGAAATAAATTACAGTTTAACAGAGATTCACACAGAAAACAGCTGTTTTAAATTGTAAAAATATTTAACTATTTTACTGTATTTTTGATGAATTAAATGCAGCCTTGCTGAGCAGAAGAGACTTCTTTCAAAAAAAGGCCAAAGGAGGTTTTGACATGAATGAACAAAATAACCAAACAGTCCATTAACGGTCTCTGCTGTGTGTTTTAGTTGCGTAAAGCGATCGAAGGCTGCATGCCGGCAGACGGTGCGAGGTTGCGTCCCGTTCTGTCCGCTTTCAGAGACCGAGGCGTTCGAGGAACCAGGACCGAAACCATCGAACTCCACCAACTACTGGAGCATCAGATCAGCTGATTGTAGGTGAAGCAGAGAACTACTAATGAGTGTCTGTTCTCTTTCTGTTCCCATTTCTGCACTGATTCCACTTTCCAGTTGTGCAAACAATATATAAATGAACTAAATAGTGTTTTTATTCATTCTAAACAGTGCATTTAGGATATCATTTGGGGTTTTATGCTGTTAAGTACATTTTAGTTTAACACTTTGTTTTATTGATGCTTTTTAACAAGAAAAAAAATATAACATTTTGACTATTGCATGTTTAAAACTCTCTGGTTGCACTCCAGTGCATTGAATCGCAGCATAACGGCAGAGAAAAATAAATAAAAACAGATACTTTTCATTGGTATTAAAATTCTGTTAAATAATAACTAAATTATTAGAATTACAGTATTGGAGAAAAGTGCTATTTTTATTAGTTTCTTGATCATGAATCTAGAAAATTGAAATGCTGTTAAAGTATAATAATTACAATAATATTGAGGAAAATGTGCATTTTTATTGGTTTCTGGGTTGTGAATCAAGACCATTTTAAATAAATAAATGCATAAATAGGGACTTTTTAAGCAAGAAAACAGAATTGCTGTTAAATAAAGTGTAATAATAACAATATTGGGAGAAATATTGCACTTTTTATTAGTTTCTTGGTCATAAATCTAGAAAATTTAAATGCTGTTAAAAAAAGAAATAAAATATAATAATTACAACAATATTGGGAAAAAATGTGCGTTGTTTTCAACACATGTAACCTTTTTGGAAGATGAATCACATGCATTTCTTTATTTCCTACCTCGTATTCAGACATAAGAAACAAAAGTTGAGAGGTTTATTGGTGCTGTTTATATATATATATATATATATATGTATGAAGAGTTTATTTGCAAAAACAGATAATTCCGTTTTTTAAAATTTTCTAAAATCATGTTTTTATTGTGTTAGTTAGCTGTATTTTTTAGTTATTTTTTAACCTAATCAAAATAACCAAACTGCAGTTTGATTGAGATTAATTGGAATGCACAATGAAAAAACATGATTTTGGAAAATGTTTAAAAACAGAGTTATGAACTCTTCATATATATATATATTTTTTTTTTTAATAAATGTTTGCTGTTTAATAACCCCTATATTTTGGTAAATCAAGACATGTTTTTCCCCTCTATTTTCCAAAAAGTGCATAAACTCTACACACGTGTTTGTGTGTTCCTGTTCTGTAGTTGTGTTTGCAGACACCAAAACTCAATAAAAATAAAAAAAGTGGAATCTGCAAACGTCTTAATATTTCATTTTACTTTGCAACTTTTTTTTCTTCTGAATTCGTTTTTACATTGAATGAGAGATTTTAGTGTTGTTTTTGTGTTGTTAGTGACACAGTTTGTGTTGTTTTCCCCCACAAGTGTTCACTTCTCCTGCATTAGGGTTGGTTAGTAGAAGGTTTAACCGGTTAGCGTTAGTTAACCGCCGCTGGACTCACAGACAGAGAGACGGTTCTCACACACATCACTGGAGCCGCACAATGTCCTCACTGAAGCAGACACTGTGTGTGTGTGTGTGTGTGTGTGTGTGAGAGAGAGAGTGTGAGTTCGTGTTGTTCATCTGCGCTCCATTAATATGATGTGCTGGCATTTTTGGAAGGACAACGACTGACCGTGACTGACCAAAATACTGGCATCTGATTGGCTGAGCCCTCATCATCAGCGAGACGTGACTGACGTGTGTGTGTGTGTGTGTGTGTGTTTGGATGAGGGATGTTTCTCCCAAAATACCACTGATTCTTTGAAATGGTCAGACTGGTGCTTAGAAAATGTATAATTAATGCTTTAAAATTATGGTGAAAATTAAAATTGCGATTGCCAGTTGAAAGCATTCTGGTTACTGAACATTGTAGTTTTATCTCCATTCAGACAGATTATATTTCATGATATTAAAGTGACCTTTGGCCTTCAGTCACAGCTTATTCTGTACTAAAGGTCAGAGAGTGACAGCAAAGGTCAAAGTTCAGCCAGATTAAAGCGTGTGATGTTTCTAATGTGATCAGAAATGTTCAGGACAGTAACTCTACAATGCTGAGTCTTTAATTG